TCAAGAGGCCGACATTTCTCACGAGATTCATGTATGAGAAGGAAGTCACAAGAAAAGATCTTAAGATCGATTAAAATTCTCTTTTGTAAATGAGGCCTCATATTTAAAATGTTTTTGTTTCAGACAGAACTTATTTACTTAATTATTTTATATTTATGAGTTGTTTTTTGTATTGTGTATGTGCTGGTTTTCAAATGAAAGTGTTGATTAAAGTGAAAACGATGCATCTGTGGTTCTTACTGACCTTGACTTGTTTGTCAAGGTCTTGTGCAGCTTTAAAATGTTCCAACTTTATTTATATTAGTGCCAAGTTGCAATACAAGGTGGCAAACAAAAAAATGAAAGCATATGATTCCAAGATTTAAATATTGAAATATTTTAGAATGCATTGGTTCTATTTCTGGTTGTGGAGAAAGTCTCTGATGTGTCCTTGCTGACCCTGTTGAAAGAAGGGACACGTCAGCTAAAAATACAGCTTGATTTGAGTTTTATTTCTCATTGTTTCAGCTGTCTTCATCAATTCATTCTTGTGTGACGCTTGGGTGGTTTCCAAAGCTCCCCAGCTCTGAAGGCTTTTAAATGTGACAAGCGTAAATCCTCATAATTCCCTGTAATGTAGAAGATCAAGTGTTGACATTTGTTACCGTCAGGTTGAAACATTACGTCATTTGTATGAATAGGATAGAGTAGAAAACACGTGTCTTCTTTTTGCATGGACAAGGAAATAATTAACATAAAAAATACCATCTACAATGAAACACTGTTGCAGGACTGCCTGAGACCTTCCATAGAAGAGAAGCCGCTCCTGTTTAAAGTTGGCACACTGTTAAAGTTAACGTATGCCCTGACATTTTCCACACAGGCCAACTTCAATTAGATTTTAACTACAGGTTTAACAAGTACAGGGTTTAACCAACAAATCCACTTTAGTTACAAACTTCACATAATATCTACTGTATATTCTGACTCACTGCCTGTCAGATCTAAACCATCTTCAAGCTGTGGCCTAAAGTTCTCTGTCATATATTATTCTCCATTTAAAGTATGTTCTCAATTATTATTTGTATCCTTACTTGGGCTATTGTCGGTAAACAAATAAATGCTATTTATAATTACAGACCTAGGTACAGGGGTGGTATTCCGGGAAGAAAGTGGCGAATTTAATAGGAAAACATTTACAGAGAAAGACATTTGAATAACCTCTGACATTAAAGTTTTACATTTGATGAGAAAACTGTTTTGTTATTTTGTTGTCAAGAAACAATGTTGCTTAATTTTATTTTACTCACAATTTATGACTTTATAATACCCAAGTATGTTTCTTGTACATTTACGTCATAATTACGAGAAATTAAAAAATGTTTTATACCTACAGTAATAATACTGCCATCCTTCAAAATGGCACCAATGTCACTTGAAAAAGGACGAAAGAGGTTTTATTGGGGGTTTTACTGGAATTAAAGATGCCTCAGACATACTGGGTGTTATTTCACCAACCTTTCACAGATATCTGTTACGGTTCTTCCACAAAACGTTCACATGTAAGAGGTTTATCTCTCATTCAAAACAATGCAAACCTTTGATCTCTACAGAGCTCGTTAGCTCAACTATAAACACCTGTGTAATGGAACACGATGTCATCACTCCAACTGACAGCAGTCAGTTCTAACTTCTAACTTCTAACTTCTCTCTCTCTCTCTCTCTCTCTCTCTCTCTCTCTCTCTCTCTCTCTCTCTCTCTCTCTCTCTCTCTCTCTCTCTCTCTCTGCCACACACAGACACACACACACTCTCTCTCTCTCTCTCTCTCTCACACACAATGTTCCAAACGGCCCAAAACTTCACAGGTTTGGTAACGATGCAGCCATCAACGTCATCAAATGCCATGAAGCACAATGTCGCTGTAAGTCCAATGGAAACGGTCCGATCGTCCCCCAAACTTTGCTTGTATATCACCGGTCCAGCCCTCAACAGCTCTACGTCAATTATGGGGTTTCTTCAAATGCCGTTGCCATGGCAACACAATGCTCGCCATGAAACACGGTTTTCTCATAACTTCAGTGAAAATGTTCCAAACGGCCCAAAACTTCACAGGTTTGGAAACGATGCAGCCATCAACGCATCTAAGCGTATTATGGGGTGTCATCAAATGCCGTTGCCATGGCGACAGATCATTCACCATCAAGTTAGTTCAAAAGTTTGCAGTTCAAATATTCTGCTGCTTTTCCAAGCCTTTTTACTTTATTTTCTTCTCTCATCACACATTCAAGCCCCCAGTGTTCATGTATCATTTCAATCTAAATTCTTCACTTTCTTCTTACATATTACATTTCAGCATAGCAGTTTAGCGTCAGCTTTTCAGCATAAAGCATTCCCACTAACAATTTCTTCAGGAATTGCATTCTCTAGTTTATTTTTGTATTGGCTGTCAACAGCAGCTGCAGGTGTTTATGTTGTTGACTTTATGGAACAACAATCAAACCTGTGACTCTACGTAGACTTTGCATGTTGCTCGAACTCCAGGACTCCCCACAGTCAGTGAACATGGATGCAGGACAAAATCACTGATCACTGAGCTGTCACATCACTATAGATATCCAGAATCACTCTCCTGTAAATCCAGTATGAGAGCAGGCGGTTACGGGAAGAATAAGTGCCTCAGGCATTAATATTACAATTGTTATTGTAAGTTGTACAGTGTGCTTAACTGATGCTCTGAGAGGTACTGTATATTTACAATAGTGCAGCTTCTCTTGAGCTACAATTTTAGCTCACTAATAGCGCATTTCCACTGCAGGGCCTCGCACGGCTTAGTACGGTATAGTTAGGCCTTGGTAGGCCAGGCTCACTTTATGCTGTGTTTCCATTACAGTTTAGGAACTGGGTAACTATAGTAACGCAGTGTAGGCGGAGCCGTGACGTCATCTTAAATGCGAAAACCAACATCAGCCGTTAGCTGTTACCACTCAAGAGCTCACAGCTCCTCATATCTGTTCAGAAACTAGACAAAAGTTAAACAAGTACAAACCACAGACTGTCTGTGTCATGGTGAATACAGTCGCTGGTTTATTTATGTCTGTATAGGCCGTTGTTGTGAGTGTGGACGGTCGGAGCATATACAACGTTAGCTTAGGCGATCTCCATTCAGAAAACACGCATTTTAAAAGGTTTTTCGCCTGCCGTCTTGTCTGCAGACTTGTCAAAGCATTAATTCATGGTTTTTACTAACCGGTATCAGTATGTTGTTACTTCGGCATCATTTTGAAACGTGTATTACAATTAAATCACGGTAAAATATGTTCATTTTGTTGTAGTTGCCAGCGATTCTCTCACTAGTTTAGGCCCGTAAAATATATTTATACCCAATGTCCATGGGTGCAGCAGTTATTAAAAAAAAAAAAAAGTGTAATCTATTGTCTGAGCCACATTTTTACCTGGATCATTTACCATAACAATTGTCCCACCGGTTCACCTGGTTTACAGGAATTTCCCGGTGCTGTTCGGAGTGTTGCCAATATGACTGCGCCTATGCGTAACTGCACATGTATCTGCAGACTAAACCTGTATTTAAGTGTGCAGCCGACTTCCTGGTGAAACTCAACAGGCCTGAAGGTTTAACTGGCAGAACCAGCTTGCCTTCCCAGAAACTCAGTCCTCTAAAATATCCCCTAACCTGTGAGCAGGTGCCTTAAAGAAACATGAAAGAGCTCAAATCTAGTGAACAGAATCTATTTAGAGCATCTTGGCTTTTTCTTGAAAACATGTTTTTAATTATGGTAATTCAATCATTAAATATAATATTAATATAAATACATTTGACGGTTGGGGGACATTCTCTGTTGAGCTAAAGTGTTTGTTTGAGTACAGTAAATATACAGGGCCTTAAAAATATGTATATGTTTAGTTGTTATACATTTTAATGAAAAACACTGTGGGTCAAAACAGATCTCTACAAAGTGGCAAATTAAAAATGTGAATAAAATATAACCTAACAATGTAACTAATATTGTAAGCGATTGGTAAGGGTAATCTTGCAGAAAACGTTGCATAAGATTAAAGGAAAATGTAAAACAATTTATTACATTTTGAATGGTTAAAATCTGGCAGTGTAAAAATGATAACTAGATAACTTTGGGGGTACAGGAGTATATCAACAGAAGGCCTAAATATGTGGGTGGCATATATTAACGTTTTCATTTTGAATTAAGTTTGCAAGTTAAAGTTACAAAGTAAGTGCTGCCTTGTTTGATGAGTTTGTGGAAAATAATTCCTTGAATGTTATTATCAATATAAGAATGATGACGTTAAATAATCCATTGAAAACCATGTATTATCATGCACGTTCAAAACATGTTCTTGAACAAATCTCTAGAATGAATTTGTTAGTGAGAAAAGTAAACAATACAGAAAGATACAATCACAAGCACACCAACCACACTGGTCCCAAGTCTCACACAGAGATACCACACTGGTCCCAAGTCTCACACAGAGATACCACACTGGTCCCAAGTCTCACACAGAGATACCACACTGGTCCCAAGTCTCACACAGAGATACCACACTGGTCCCAAGTCTCACACAGAGATACCACACTGGTCCCGACATCCATGCCAACCCAGACTCAGGGACAGTTTCATCCCACAGGTAATAAGGCTGTTAAACACCTGAACTGTTGAAGCAAAATCTGTTAAACACCTGAACTGTTGAAACAACATCCATAATATTCATCTGGCTGCTACTTAGAAATGATTTGTATTTACCTAATACATCATATTCCAATAACTTGCTTATAGACTCTTATTGCACTATTTCACTATTTTAAACTATTTTAATTTTTGTATTTACTATTTACTTGCACTATATTCTTCTGTTTATCTGTGTTTTGTGTTGCACTGTTGGAGAAGCCTGTGACCTAAGATTTTCATCGACATAACTACACTGTAGCTATGTTCGTATGACTAAATAAAGAACCTTGAACCCAGGGGAGAGGAGAGGGTGCTGCAGCTTCCTCAGCCTTTTCTACAGGTCCTGATTACTGATGGGGCTGCACCTGGAGGGAGTCAATCAGGTTTATATAACAAGTTTTTATACAGCACCTTTCAACACAAGGACATTCAAAGTGCTTTACAAAAATGAAAGACATTAAAAGTCTCCTATTATAATATTGTTAGGCAATAGCATAGGTCTTAGATATATGCAAATATATAAAAAACATGTCTATGAAGTGTTTTTCTCAAAATACCAAACAGATCACCCATTGTAGCATGCCTCATACCCCTCTATTTCAGCCCTGTTAGCTGATTCTGGGTCAGTAGTTTAAAAAAAAAAAAGAGGGGGGGAGCATATGCCTGCTCAGAATTCTACCCAGATACTCAACTAAATGCTACCGTGATTAAACGCCATATCACGTTCAAAATCACTTCAAGCTTTATTTCTGAAACAGTATGGAGCTCATATACTTTTTCTCTTGCGGGTTTACCACAAGGTGAGTTCCTTTTTTTATTTCCTGCTTTTTTCCACTACAGTATTAGCTCTGAGTGTTAGCGATGCTTGCTAATGTAAACACAGAACATATTACTTCCAAAACGTTGCACATTGTTACTGATAGCAACGTTTCTGATAGGGCTGTGGGTCCACATTTCCGATATTACGTCTTATCGGACGCAAATCTGGATCAGCTCCGTTAGAGATTTGGGTACGGAGGAAAAGAGAGAGGGTTTTGTTTTCTGACACTTTGTGAGTTCCCTGACACACCGGGGACACATATTTATGTATAAAATACATCAGAGAGGGCATTTTGCATGATAGGAGACCTTTAGCGTTAAGAAATAGTGCAGTTGAAACAACCTCTTAAGTCTATCACTGCCTTACAGGTGTGGAATTCCCCTTGAGATGCAGAACAGTGAAGTGGAATAAAGCAGGTAATATCAGCATAAATGGAAATGCTCTCCCTGCAGCTCAGAGAAATGTTGATTGAGGTGTTGGGCGTGTCTTTGAACAGGTGACACTGTTTGTGTTGCAGAGCGAGACGGGGGAGGGAGAAGGAAGGAGAATGAGGGAGGTGGAGAGGCAGATGAAGTTATTTATGCCGCAGCAGACCTGCAGAATCGACCCACAGTCATGGCTCTCTACAGGTTGATCTGTGCCACGGCTCTGCTCTCCCTCCTGACTCAAGGTAAGGGTCCTCAGCTGCACCACACACTGACGTAAAAAAATAGTAGGAGTAGTTGTTGCTCCATAGAGGGAAAAGTACTACTGTCAAAACGTAATGTGTGTATTTTTTATGATGATTTCATCTGTAAATTATGTTTGCTCTGAGTGGAAATCCTGCATTCAATTTTTTATTACATTGCCTTAACTGAAAATATTGCACTTAAAAGGATCAAAATGCAGAGCCGAGTTCATGTAATTGAACTATAATATGCATAAAAATGTATGAATATGATATAGTAGAGAAAATGTTTTCTTTCTTACATTTTCTTTCATTTGCATTTAAAGAAATTATTTACAAAAATTATTTCTGAAGGGGAAAAACAACCAACTGTTTTTATTGAAAATAATAAAATAAATCATTCTTGGAAGTTTGCAGTAACTTAGTTGTTGTTGTTGTTAAGTTGAATAAAAGTATTATATCTTCCATTAAAATGCGAGAGATGTCAAAACATGACTCATTTGAACCTTTGCAGCTTTTGTCTGCTGGGCAATTCCTGATAATTATAGGTGATAACGTGAGAGGAGTACAATATGTGTCCAGTCAATCACTGTCAGTGTCCTTTATCAAGCCTTCTTCTACATGTCCCATTCTTTTATTAGATCCTCTGAGAGTGAAGCAGCTGCCAGGCTTTAAGTGATTTATTAGTCATAGAAAACAACTTTTAGTTCTGCTTTAAATGTCCATTGTATTTTATTACTTAATTATATATTTAGTGTAATAGAATTGCCATTTTTAAGATGTAGTTATAATCAAACTCATATTGATTGATTTTCCTTAGTTTTAAGTTATTTTAAATTAATAGTTCACAATAATAATAGAAAATGTTGAATGTAAAAAAAATGAATATTAGGTACTTGGTGGTGTCACCCCCCCCACCCCACCCCCCCCCCCCGTACCCACCCCCCCCCCCCCCCTCTGTCTGTGAGCACACTTCATGGTGGAGAAATGTTGTGCTCTAAGAGAAATGTGGCCTTTCTGGTCTCTATGAATGTTTGTATGTTTGATTCAACAACGGAGGCAGTAAAACCAGTTTGTTGGGACACCAGACAACATGTTACACAACATTAACTATGTGCAAACGGCAGATGAAAAAACACGCCAACTCATAAATAACACACAAAAGAAACAGCAGTGTCTGTCAGGGCTATTATTACTTTGTAGGTATTTTTGATATTGCTGTACTAGATCTTTTTCTAAACAGATGTAATGGCAGTAAAGATGGTTCTATGTTTCCAGTGAAGCATGTCATTGTTTCCAGTGTTCAAACAAACAAACCTGCAGGTGTTCATTATATAACACCAGGATGAATACCGGGTGGGGCTCCTCTCTTTTATTTCCCACCCAATTCACTTAATTTAATGTTATTTATTAATACAATTATGTATTCATTTGTATAACATAATGTCATACGTATGTGGGTGTGTGCATATATATATTTAAAATTAAAAAGAACTAATCAAATAAAAGTGATGCCAAAACCTAACAAGAAATGAAAGATAAATAAAAAACATGTAAAAACATAACTACCAGGTTTTTAAAACATTATATCTTAAATTGGTGAACGATTTTTATAAAAGAGTTGCCTTAAGGGAAATGTAGGATACAGTGCCTGTGTGTGTATGGTAATAAATGACATGGATATAGAATTTAATAATAATCTAATTAATATTATTAAATTATCCCAGAACAGAAGAGAAAATTAAAGAAAAGTAGACCGTTCTTTAGTGAGTTAGGCAAACTTGAAATAAAACATTAAGTAAATATCATTATAGAAACATAAGTATGTTCATAACTGTTTCATCAATATGTTTGATTTTCTATTTTTCAGAGTCTCATTCACAACTAAATGGTAAGTCAAAGTTTTATGGACTTTTTTCACATGTACACACATTTCATTATTGTTAGTGTTGGCTGTAAAAACGGTAATGAGTTGGGTTATTTTTAACAATTTGCTTGTTATATATTTGCTATTATTTTGTTCATTCATGTTACAATTCATTTTTATTATAAAACACAACAACTTAAAAAAAGTAGACCCCCTGCTAAAGACCAGTGTGTGCTGAACTCAATTACACTCAGCGCCACACATGAGAATGAAATGAGAATCCCATCAGGGGCCAGCCTCCAGACACATACAGTTTATTAAAATGCTATTATCTATTCCAAACAAAATGTCGTCCACAAAAACTCTAAAAAGTTGCTTCGTCATCATATCATTTACATGTCATAAACAGCCTATAGACTTCTGGCAATCAGATGCACATACAAACCTCAAAATTACAAATTAACTTTGCAGTCAATCAGAATCAATCAATATGACAACTCGATATAAAACCCGGGAGAGCAGAGGGGCTCACTGTGTTGTGTTGTGTGTCTCTGTCAGTGTGCGGTAAGCCTGTGCTCAACACCAGGATCGTTGGAGGACAGGCGGCCCCTGAGGGCAGCTGGCCCTGGCAGGCCAGCCTGCATCGATTTGGGAATCACTTCTGTGGAGGGTCCCTCATTAACAGTGAATGGGTGCTGACTGCGGCTCACTGCTTCCCAAGGTGTGTCCTATATCCTATAATGAAATGTATTTATGTGACTTAATTCATGAGGAAATATTATTCTCATTTTCAGGTTCAGATTTGTATTTTGTTCCTCTACTGTGACATGTCTCCATGCTTTAATGTTCAGAAAGCTCTTTATTGTTCTCATACTGCCTGTGCTGCAGCACCTCTTTTCACCCTCTGTCTGAAACCAGAGCCCAGTCTGCTCTGATTGGTTAGCTGGCTGGCTCTGATGTGATTGGTCAACCGCTTAGAGATTTCCCGCCCCTTAGCCTATCATGTACAATTTGTTGGAGCGGGGGGTAGTACTGTGAACCCAAGCACTACTTGGTCATTTCTGCACAGCTCTTCCAGTTTTAATTCAGATATACTGCTTTTTTTATAGTAATTGGTCATATTGTTATAGTTTCTTTAATTACGGTACATTTAGTCTTATATCTGGTTTGCGTTATAATTGGTTACATTTATTTTACTTTATAATAGTTTATAAGTAAGCAAATGCCCTTTACAGTATGTGAAGAATTACTTTACCTGATTCTGATCATTTGAATTTTCATGAATCAATCAATTTATAATTGTTTTAATTTATGTCACTAAGTGAGTTATCATCAGTTTACTATGATATAAGTTTACTAATATTTTTCTTTTTTAACTCTCCAGTTCCGGCACAGCCAACCTGATTGTGTATCTGGGTCGCCAAAATCAAGAAGGCGTCAACTCTAACGAGGTGTCGAGGATGGTTACACGGATCATCAATAACCCTAACTACAACTCCGGGACGAGCGACAACGACATCTGCCTCCTGAAGCTCTCCTCTCCGGTCCTCTTCACCAACTACATCGCTCCCGTGTGCCTGGCAGCCTCGGACAGCACCTTCTTTAGCGGCACCGACTCCTGGGTCACCGGCTGGGGGGACGTCGCATCTCAAAGTGGGTTCAGAAGGCAACATTTATTTTATTATTGCAAGGTCACAACTCTGTTGTTTAAATGCAACAAACATTTAGATTTCCATTGAGCACTTAACTGAGCACTCATAAGGGTGTCCCAAAACAAAGACATTTCAGAACACACTGAAAAATTGCACAAATTACAAAAACTTTTCACAAACGTCAAAATCAAATCAGAAAACTCAAACATATTTCACAAAAACATAAAACAAAAAAACCTCAAAATATATTTTACGAACCACACATTTAACAAACATTACATTTTGTCAAATGTCATTGTGTTATGTATAAGGTCGTTTTAACATTATTAGAAACACAAAAAATGTTTGATGATACGTTTTAGCACTTCATAATTGCAGTAGTTGTAATTCATTGTAATCTTTTTAAAATGCAGTAAAAATCCTGTGCTCTTAAAGAAGTGTGTATTTGTGTCTCTTCAGTTCCTCTTCCATCCCCAAAAGCCTCATGGAGGTGGAGGTGCCCATCGTGGGGAACAGGCAGTGCAAATGTGACTATGGAGTGAATACAATCACAGACAACATGATCTGCGCCGGGCTCCGGGCCGGAGGGAAGGACTCCTGTCAGGTGAGCATCTTTGACCCAACCTTCTCCAATCCTTTCTGTTACACAGTATCTATCTTAAAATGGTGCAGGTGTACCCTAATACAGTGGTTCCCAAACTTTTTGTGCCCAAGGCACACCAAAGGACAAGTAAAAATCTCAAGGCACACCTATTGTGCAAAATAGCCCTTATAACACGTGTTATCACTCATATCATGTAAAATATCTGTAAATGTGCATAATTATTTACTAATGCCAAATAAAATGTGACAAAGACAACTATATTACTCATGAAATATTTATTAACGAAATATTTCAGAAATTAATTTGAAACTTTATCAAATTAGACTTCATCAAAGCAGCAACACACTCATTTAAACCAGACAGGTCACAACATTAAAAATGAGGCAAACACTCAGCAGAAATTCAGCACAGAGAACTGTCAATGCAAGGAAGCTGCACTGTCCATGGGCCTGAACTACAAATTATAAATGTAACATTTCAGCAATCAGCATTGAAACATGTGCTATTGTAAATATTTTTGCCAACTGACAAATTAGTGAGATACATGTGCCTGTCGGGCGCGCAGATTTTTCTAATCCTTGGTGGCACTGAGGAGAGGGCCACTCGCAAGTCCTGTTCAACAGAGAGCCGTGACCTCCTGTTGTTCTTCATGTAAACCAGAGTAGAGAACGCCAACTCACACAGGTAGGTAGTGGGAAAAAGAAGAAGTTGCTCAATCGCGTGGTGGGAGATGCTTGGGTACTCCGATGCAGAAGCCAACCAAAACTGATCCAGTGGGAGCTCACTAAATTTGAGTTTCAGTGTGCGGTCCACACGGAGCTCTGCGCACTCCTCTCTCTCTTTCATAGTGAGCTTTTCTGTTGGGAATTCCTGGTGGAATGGGTCTCGGATCCAGTCATAGTCCTCGATGTCAGCCACACGTGGAAAATAGCGGTCAAACCTCTCTTTTAAGGTCTGAAGGTGTTTGGCATATACAGCGCGCTCCCTAGCTGCCTGCGGCACAGCTGATGCCAGCGGGAACATGTCCATGGAGCCCTGTTCCAAAGCCTCGCGCCACAGGATAAGTTTGCCCATAAACCCCCGAATCTTGTCTGTGGATGATAAAATGTTTTCATTCCTGCCCTGAAGCTTGGCGTTTAACTCGTTGAGATGCCCAAATATGTCAGCGAGGTAAGCCAGCCTGGCGCACCACCTCTCATCCGCAAGCTTGTCTTTATGTGGGACAGCGTGTTCACGTGAAAACTCCAAAAGCTCTTCCCGAAGCTCATAAAGACGGGATAGGACTTTCCCCCGTGACAGCCAGCGTACCTCTGTGTGGAGGATCAGGCTTTGGTGGTCGGCTCCCATCTCGGCGCACAGCTGGGAGAAGAGGCGAGATTTCAGGGGCCTTGATTTGATGTAATTCACCATCTTCTCCCGTAGTATGGCTTTCCATTTCTTTGCAGAAGAAAAACATCTCTTTGATAGAGTCAGCATCAACAAAAAGAAATGTTGATGCTGACTCTATCAAAGAGACGTTTTTCTTCTGCAAAGAAATGGAAAGCCATACTACGTTTGCGAGACGTTTGCCAGAAGTTGGGCAGCCCCACTTATGTCAGTAGATTCGTCTATTTGTAGGGAAAATCTGCCGCTCGCCTGCAGTGCCATAAGACAGGTAACTTTCATGATACTGTCTGCTGACAGTTTTTTTCCTCTTTTCTTTCGGTGGTGGGTTGTCGGCAGTCTCTGCACTGGTGGTTGGTAGTTTGCTCCGCACAAGAAAGCGCTCCATTTTCCCTCTTGCGTGTTTCTCTGTTTTAATGTTGTCCTTCAGCCTTCGATGTGTCACGGTCTTATAATTCCCACCTGTGCAACTGCGTTAACAGCGAAATATGGGGTTCTGTGAGGATTTTTTTTAAAAGAATTGTTTTTAGGTATAGAGTTTGCCTCTGTATTATGAAATGAGTGCATACAAAGTACTGATATAGTAAATAAAAAAATAATTATTTTTGTGTAGTTGTATATTGCAATAATAACGTATGGTTGTCACAAAATCCCACGGCACACCCGGACTTGCCTCACGGCACACCAGTGTGCCGCGGCACACCGTTTGGGAAACACTGCCCTAATAGACTGGTGTCTGGATGACGTATTTTTGTTGTCTGACCCTGAACTCAGCATCTTACTGTTTCCCTCCACAAAACACATTCATGATACTAGTTTTGGTTCAAGTTCTACATATTCACACCACTTTATGGTTTTTGAAGCATTAATGCAATCGAACAGCTAACATTAGCTGTGAAGGAACAACAGCACAGTCACATGACTTCACCTTTCCACCGCTAAGCTAAAGGTGGTTAATGTTCGATGACGTTTAGTAGTGTCCTTTAATTTCTGCAACTGTGCTCAGAAATTCACAAATGGAGTATTTTACTGACGTATTTTATGTTGTAGAACAAAAACAAAACGGAAACATTTGAATGCAGGATCAATACCCTTTAAGTAGGTACTTTAACTAGGCTAGATTTAGCTGATTGCATACTCAAAGAAACGTTACTTGTAGTGGACTATTTTCAGAGTCTGGAATTAATATTTTTACTGCATTCAAGAACCTGAAGACTTTCATATTTGACCTTCCGCAAAGACCCTTTTCTAAATGTACCTCTCATTAAAGGGGGACTCAGGCGGTCCGCTGGTGAGCAAGCAGGGCGGCCGCTGGATCCAGGACGGAGTCGTGAGTTTTGGGAACGGTTGCGCCTTACCTAATTTCCCAGGAGTCTACTCCAGAGTTTCCCGGTATCAGGCCTGGATCAACAGCCTAATCACCAGCAACCAACCGGGCTTCGTCACCTTCACGTCCACAGGGACTGACAGCGACCTCAGCGTGTCCTGTCGCGGCCTGCCCCCCCTTCCAACCTCCGCCCCTACATCCCCACGTGAGTACCTGTCACCTGTCAGTCATTTGCAACAGAAATGTGGAAAAGCCGGATTTAATATGGTTGTTTCATTTTGTTGAAAGATTAGAGTCAAAGGTTTTTACAGAGGAGATTTTGGAAATGTCTTTTTCACTCCATTAATTTGAAAAAAACATACTTTACATCAGACCTTCAGAATTTAAATAGGAATACAGCTGTACATTTGATTGTATGCAAGTGCTACTCGATCTCTTGAATGAGATAATACGCATTTTTAGAAAGTGGCTATTAGAGATATATATTGTAAAACTCTTACATGTTGTACACACTACAGGTGAAAGGGTAAACATTTTACTGATAGATATCACCACAAAACTTCCCTAATAGATCACTTGCATGAAGGCATATTCACATCTTAAACTGCACTGTAACTTTTATCCATGTATTTTTTCTTTTAATGTTTCTTTTATTATCTTTTCCTTTTAATGACTGATTTTAAATGCCATTTTCTTAATGTCTTTCATTTTTTGTAAAGCACTTTGAATTGCCTTGTGTTGAAAGGTGCTATATAAATAAACTTGCCTTGCCTTGCCTTGCCTTGCCTAAGGCAAATATTTGTTGTATTACAAGTTCTCTGAAATACTAGTGTTACATTTTCAAATGATGTATTATGTACTGCTCGCTTTTGAAATGTACACAAATAGAGAAAAACTAAATGTGTATTTGGGATGTTTCCTCTTTTTATAAATTCTGTTTAAGCTTGTTCTACTTTACATTGTAGCTATATAATTAATACTTTGAAAATTGAAGAACTATTTTTGTGTATCACTCCACACGAAAGTTCACCCTGAAATGTTTGCTGTATTTGGAAACTTTCAAATATTAAGTTCTGTGTAGTACTGTGTCTTCAGCACCTGAGTTTAATATCTTTACATCTGTACGTTGTGATTGTACAGCAAAGGTCACTCCACAGCCGTCAAACTCTGGAAAAACCACAACTCAACCTCCACCCACTGATAGGAGCTTCAGGACCTTATATTCCAAAACCATAGTTTTTCTTCATCTAACACAAGATTATAGCAGTTTTACTCAAGTACTGTACATAAGTACAATTTAAGGTATTTGTACTTTGAGTATTAACATTAACATTATTTAATAGTTAAATAACTAACATGAGTTATTTGATAAGACAAATTACAACAACAAACATCTCTTAAATGTATTTGTTAGTAAGAAAAGAACAGAATAGTGTTATATCTATAATAATACATCTCTTTTATAGAGTCACTCTCATGAGTACTTTTATTTGTGATAGTTTAAGTACAGGGCAGGCTGATGATACATTTGTTCTTATACTGTAGTAGTATTATTGACTTTTTTTAAACCCCAGGCTGTATACATGTTCTTCCTTCCTGTTTCATTAATCATTTCATTGCTTCATAGTTTAAAAATGTCATTGTCTAAACGTGGTAGTTAGCTTTATGTGTTTTTGTACACTCTGTTGTCAAATGTCAAAATGTCAAATGTTTGTCTTCAGTTTTGTTATAACAACCAAGCGTGTGTATCTGCCCATCTAACCTCTCATGCTAACATAGCCTTAAAGCCTAATGTTGTTTGTCTTTATGGCTGTATGAACAAGAAACACTAGTGGTTTTGGTCTTTATAACTGATTAAAACAGTGTTTTATTGACTGCTTTATACCAATATGGACTGCTAGCTCATGCCTTACCTCGTCTTTTGCAGGCCACATTTTCAGAATCTGAATTAAAAAAAATGTATATCTTGAGGAAATTGGGTTGCAGGACACTTGCTCCATTTGAGAATAAAGTAGAATATAAAAACATTGCTTAAAAATTTGTAAGTTATAGAAAAATGTGCAATGCATAATGAAAGAAAATAAAGATATTTATATATTTACATATGTAATTCAAGTTAAATGTCCAATAAATGGTCAAATACAATAATATAGAATACGAATATTTATATTGACATAAGTTAAAGTAAGATTGTGCTGCAAAAACATACAATTAAATAAAGATACTTAAATAAACATAAGTAGATGAATTAAAATGTCCAATAAAAGATCAAATAAAATGTAAAAGGGTTTGGCTGCTGATGGTTAAGTGAGTCTCTTGGTGAGGGAGGAGTTAAGAGTCTGATGGCCACAGGCAGGAAGGACTTCCTGTTTGATGGCCACAGGCAGGAAGGACTTCCTGTTTGATGGCCACAGGCAGGAAGGTGGTGCTCTGTGGAGCATCTTGGTGTAATGAGTTGTTCTCTGAAACTGCTCTTGTGGCTAACCAGTGTGTCATTGAGTGGTTGGAAAACATTTTCCAAGATGAGCCACACCATGAACAGCCTCCTCCTCTATGACACCGCCTTCAGAGAGTCCAGTTGAGGTTTTTTTGTGGCTCAAAAACTGATGTCATAAACAATTATTTTTTCAAAAGTTATTAATAAAACTAGGTTTGGTTCAGGTTCATTGCTTTGCTGTTTTTTGTGCTATCTACTGACTAACCCTTTTCCTTTTGTCTTTGTTTTTATCTGTATGTCTATAGCTGTGTTAAGTGCTTTGAGAGCAACAAGAAACTAACGTTCAGAAATCTGATTGTGATTGTTTCTCCAGCTGTGTTCTGTGGCAAAGCCCCGAGGAATTCACGTATTGTGGGAGGAAGCTCGGTGGCGACGGCCGGCGAGTGGCCCTGGATGGTGAGTCTGCAGAAGAACGGGAGTCATGTGTGTGGCGGGACTCTGGTGGCCGAGGACGCCGTCTTGAGCAACGCCGAATGCTTCACAAGGTGAGACACCTGGAATAATGGTTCCAACAAATGACGACCAAAGTATGTCCAACTTTAGTCGTAAGATGGTCTTCTCAAAGGCTGCATTGTCACTGCTTTGTAACTACAGTGTGCGAAAACCACAGACGTAAGTCTAGCCTACAACAACGCACTGTGTCAATGGTTTTTATATTGGACTTTATGGAAACCGCCTATTTTAAACCAATCAGAGGTTTGGAAGTTTTGAGTTCTCTTCAGTCAGATGTCTAAAGAGAACTAGATACAACGTCGGAGGCGGGGCCCCGTTCGTTCCTATGAAAGTGGCACATGAAGCCCGAAATGGAAAGACTATAGATTCAAAAAGTACCCGACCTGGGCCCATAGAGCATGAGCACTTGAGTTTTCCTTTAGCCCCGACTCCAATCTCCCACTCTTGGTTCCGTCATGGAGAGGGAAAAAACTCTGGATTCTGCATTTTTACAGCTTTTAGACTCTAATGATTTAAATATTGGATAGAAAAGTGTTTGGACTGGGTAGTTTTTTTTAAGCTAAAAAAGAATTATCCGCTGATTTACAGACGTTTCTTTCACAATGTAATTCAATTGGGAAAAAGCATGTTAGGGCCAAAATGATGTAATTGACTGGAAAGTATGTGTAGTACCGTCGTTTGGCAACTTCGAAAATGTGCTTAAACAGCCAGCGCTCTTCCTGGGGGCTTGCTCAGTCCTGGGAATTCGGTGCTCTCTGGAGCGGCACAGCCATCTTTGTAGGAAAGCTTTTATAGCAAAGGCAGCCGCTGTCACTTTCTATGCTGAATGACTGAATGATAACTAAATGTTGACTTATGCTGCATAATTAATCTACGGATATATTTATATATATTTCGCGACAATTCAGGTCTTAAATTAAATGTTCTGTTTCAGGGTTACTGTAGTTCAGCAATTATTTTAGATACTTTCATTAAACAGTCAGCAGTTGGCTGCTACCGTATTGTTGTTACAATCAACAACAATGCCAAGTTACAAATAGTTCCAGTTGAACCAGTTCGAGCTACTTTACTGTCTGCACAGGTTAGTATACATATTGCGGTCGGTCGCAGGTATCCTCAAAAGATGGCCAACCTGCTGTTGATGTTGTCTCTTTCCTATTCCTTATGGAGTGTTGCAGGGATACCGTATTTCTGTAGGGGAACCTTGAAGTGAGCATATTCCCGGTTCCCTCTGCAAAAATCCAATGGAAATTAGATTTTTGGGTTATTGCAGAAAGTATGCCATGTGGCAAACAAACGATTATGATAGTTGCATGTTTTGCTCAACAGAATAATCCCTTATGTTAACACCACTTTTATAATTCTTCAAAAGTAAAAACTAACGTTAGGCTATACGCAGGAACCATACGACTGTCACATGGCTACGCTAAGCTAAACTAAGGTCATCGCTAGGCTAAAGATGGCTAATGTTCAGGGGGGTTACATTAAGTATTCACATTTAGACAATAGTGAGCTACGCGCTTTTAAGACAAGCTTTAGAAATTCACAAAGAACATATTTACCGATGTATTTTATGTCATTAAAGGTAGGGTAGGTAAGTTTGAGAAACCGGCTCGAGATACACTTTTTGTTATATTCCATGGAATGCTCTTAACATCCCGATAGCAATGAATATCTAAAGTGCTTTGACAAAAAATCCATAAATTCATCTGTGGAAGCCGTAATACTGTAAAAAGTACGACCAATCATTTTAGCCGGCCCGGCTAAAATAACTGGATGGCCTACCTGCCTGTCAGCCTTCCATCTGTGCACAAACTTATCTCGTGCCCTCATTGGTCATGTGCGCGTTCGTGTGTGTTGGAGGAGGGGCTCTGTAAGGAAGTGGCAAATTTTCTCCGGTTGTGTATTTTCAAATTCTAGCGATCTCGAGCCGGTTTCTCAAACTTACCTACCCTACCTTTAAACAAACAAATCTCTGAAGCTTATTTTAAGCATTTAACCAAAATGTTTTGACTAATTTCAGGGTTTTAGGACTCATTCTGCAGGTCAATATTGAGTTCATGTTTTATCTCCCACAGTTCCCCCTCAGCGTCTGATTGGACCGTTGTGTTGGGTCGGCTGAAACAGAACGGGTCCAACCCCTTTGAGGTGAAAATGAACGTGTCAAACATCACTCTGAGCATGATGACGGGGTCTAATGTAGCCGTGCTGCACCTGCACACCAAGCCCACCCTGTCCGACTACATCCAGCCCATCTGCATGGACAATGGACGGACCTTTTCCGTGGGAACGTCCTGCTGGGTTGCTGGTTGGAGCTCTGCGAAAGGAGGAGGTGAGATTAAACATTTTTGGAATTTGCACACTAATATAGGCACTTACAAAGTACCTCAAGTCCAAGATTTAGCAATTTAGATGTTTCATTTCCCGTCTTTTTTTTTGTTCTTCCACTCTTCAGAAGAACAAGTCCTGCAGGAGTTTAAGACCTCTGTGGAAAATTGTGGGAACGCGTCGTCGAGTGACATTTTATGTACCGGCACTTTTACACTGGATCCAGTAAGTTATTTCCTTTTTCTTTCTTTATGTAGTTAGCCTATATTTCTGTGTTGCTCAAAGTTTTAATTTAGGAGATTATTTCACTATCATATGTTTTTTCTGTTTTATCAATGTGTTTTAGGGTCTTTTAACATTGGACACTTAAAAAATTACATTGGAAACACAAGTTGAACCTTTTTAAAATAGGTACAGACTTAAATGTAACACTATTTCTACAAGCCATAAGAAGGTATTGTTTGTGCAGCACATCAGAACGGGGGTTCATACAAAACTACTGCTTATATTCAAGTATGCAGACTATCAAAACTATACTCGCATGTCGGCTTAGGTGGTATTTTCCTTTATTCTATAAGCACACATCAAGGAGTATGTGAATATTCATATATCGTTTTTTGATTAATATCTACATAATTAAATACATAAAGATTTTTATTTTATTTTATGTGATTTACTTTGTGTACCCTACAGTGTCGTATAGTTCGTTTTTTTAATAGTTAGTTAGTCATTTTATATATCACGACTGGCATAGCACAGTTGCACATTTGCAGAAATAAATAGTTAAATAAATAAAAAGAGTTAATGGATGACATACAAATGTTTTTTATTGTGTAGTACAAAAATGCAAACATGTATTTTATTTCCTTTGATGTATAGCTTCTAAAGCGATGATTGAGAGTGGTATCTTTTTATAAAAGTGTATGTTGATTGGTTTTGATTTTAATTAAGAGGTAATGAAGTAGTTAGGGTTAGGTTTCTTTTTAATTATATATAAGATTATCAGCAAGACAATCAGCAGCTTACAGAGGTAATATTGTTTCACCATCCCTCCTAAATGTTGTGTGTCTGTGTGTTCAGACTGACTCTGGCGGTCCGATGATGTGTAAGCAGGACGGCTCCTGGTTCCAGGCGGTGGTGCTCTCAGCTGAAAGCACAGCCAATAAGACCAGAACAAAAGCAGCAGTGAAGAAACATACAAGACTCAGCCGCTTCGAGAACTTCCTGGAAGTAAATGTGGGTTTCTTATCTTCAGACACCACCAACTCCACCGCTGCCCCCACCCCCACGCTGCCCACCAACAGCGGGGGGAGCCCTGTTCTCTCCCCCCTCTTCTTCCTCCTCCATCTCCTCATCTTCTCCACCTGTCTCCGACTCTTTTTGTAGAAAGCTCAAACTTTGTAAATTGTGATTTACATGATGTGGCGATCACAAATGAATGTAATCTTTATTAACAAATGTCTTAATTTAAGAGAAGATTTAGCTCAAAGCTGCATCTATGACTTAATTTTGTGAGCACTTGGCGTAGAGAGGTAGTTAAATCCGACATCCGGGGGGAAATAACAACTTAAGGAGCTGCAATAAGCACAGCAATGCAAAAATAAATCCTATCAGAGAGGCTAATTTCTGTTTAAACAATCCTTATTCAACTGCAGGGTACATGTTGCAGAAACCTCCTATTTTAAGGAAGGAAAGGAAGAGTTAAACACTGTGTCCACACAGCGTCTCTTTCTGAGCGCCTTTTTTCATTTATGTCTGCTCTAGAAACCAACACTACTTTTCACACTGAGCTAAACCTTTGAACCGTTGTTTTTCTTATTGAAACACAAAAATAATGACGTCACTTTAAGACAATTAGAGGAGTTAGAAGTGTTGACGACATCTGTAGAGAAATCTAAAGATGTTATTTGGGAAAATGAAGAATAACTCCAAAGCAGGAGATAGAAGAAGGTTAGCGGGCTAACATACTAGTTAGCATTTTGTATGTTTTGTTGAGCATAAAGAGAGCGGCCATACAGGTTAAAAAACGCTTGCTAAATCCACTTCGTAGAATAGGGAGAGTGAGAACAGTTTATGCCTAGGGGTTTAAATCAGTTTCAACTTCATCTCTCTTACTTATACATTAAAAACATTATTAGCTGCCTTGGTGTTTTTGTGGATAACAGACATGGAAAGAGAAAATATATTTTTTTAACTGCATAAGTAAGTCAAGAAACATATTGTAAATATAGAGAAGAAATACCACACCTTTATGAAAAAATATATAATGAAGATGTAAAAACTCTGGGCAGGGAATATGCAAAACTGTACACTAAGGTACAGGATTGGTGGATTTTTCTTTTTCTTAGAGTTCCCAACCCTGAGGGTTTTACAGAAAGCAACATTTTATATATTTGTAAAGAAATGTGTGCATGTACAGAGATACATTTCTAAAAGAAAGTTAAAAATAAACGTTTAAATATGAATTACTTTGAAGGAGATTAACCTGAAGCCAGCTTCACTGCTCTATCACAAAATAAAACATGATTACATTCATTTTGTGATCCTGTACGCGAACTGCTCCAGTCTAAAAATGAAGAATAGTTTGAGCTGCACTGAAAAAAAGTCTGGTACGGTTTATGAAGCTATGGACCATACGGCTAAATGCACGTTTTTTTATAATTATTTTTTTAATGAATACAATAATGAAATGTGTGAAATCTTTGTAATATATAATCTTCTACATACTGAGGAATATTTTGTGAGAACTTTATAATTGTTTAACCTCAAAGTGGCATTTATTATGGATCGAGACATTACACACATGGCCTTAACATCTTTTACAAAGACGTCAACTCCAACTGACGTAGAAGCAGATGGTGTATATTGATACAATTGGACGGATTATTGAACAAATGTAAGATTTAAGGAACACTGAGAGCCCTTGTCTACCTCATAATATCATGGAGCTAACATGTCAACATCTATAAAAAACAATATTTGCTCTTAAAATACTTCAGCTGCACTTTTCATGGATCATAAGTCTGCCAAGTCTTGCCGTGGATTGCATGCTCTTTAACTGTGAAATAATTGTACAATTTGTTTTGATTTGATGCCATAATGACCTTTTTGAAATATTTCTGTGTTTTTTTTACAAACATCCAGAAGCATATTAATAATTCTCTTTATTGTTTTGGTTCGTATCGAGATGATTAAATACATAATGAAAATGTGTTGTTGTGAGTCCTTCTCTCTGGTGCGCTACATTTTCACTTAATTATAAAAATAAAAAGATTCTGAGCCCACCCGAGAAAACCACCATTTACAGGTTGGGGTCAGTAAAAAATGTGGATAGATAAATCGTTGCCTATGATAGATCAATAAATAAATAGGGGTTTGATGAAAGAGCATGGTTAAAGGGGCCCTGTTATGCTCCCATAGATGAGAGTAACACCTACGTCACTTTCGGGCGAAAAGTACGGCCCCGCCCACTTTTTGGGGAAAACAACGCTGTCATTTGAATGGCGGTCAATAGAAATTCTGAATTTTTTGCCAATCCGATCAGAAATTTTTGAAAACCGTGGATTTTTGGATCTTCAAAGAGCCCGATTACGATGGCCAGTCAGGCAAACAATTACATCAAATCATTTGAAATCGACAATTGGGCTCGATATATGGTTAAATTAAAATCAGTAGGCAAGGCTGTAATTTTCGCCGGCTGTTACTCTCATGAGCGAGGCGGAAAATAATTGTTTTATCATGCCAAAAAGCTGCTGTGTCGTTTATTGCAGGGGTTCCCAACCCCCGGTCCGCGGACCGGTACCGGGCCGCAGAGGTGTTACTGCCGGGCCGCGAAATAGCTGTGAGTTTATCGTAATATTTGCAGAATTATAAATATATAAAAATATTTTATCATAATATTTTTTCAAAAAGTGTTTAATTTTCGCACCTATGCCACCAGTCATATTATTTCATCCAGTAGCTCGTGCACACGAGCATGTTACCGGTGCGCCAAGTAGGAAGAGGAGCGCACAGGAGACAACCGTTTGATTGCAGACTGTTATGTTTATGTGGGGAAATGGTGGTGCATACATTATTTGAGATATATTTCAAACTCGGACTTCATTTTAAGGACATGTCGGCCAGGGGTGTAGAGCTATTTGTTTAAGCACCGGATTGGCAAAACAGAAGAGTAAACCAGTCTGCCTTGATCTATGAATTAATGTCCGGGACTCTCACGATCTGCTGCCCGCAGCTGCTTTATAGAAGGAAACCCTCCTTCACTTCTTAAAACGGCTGCAGCATCCGGAGGCAGCGGGACGTATACTCCGCTTCTGAGAAGTGCAGCACCAGTATGACTGTGTTTAACTTCATCAGAACAGCTTAAGAGTGACTGCAGGCTGCTACGTGTTAACCACACACACCTATACACACACATCTACACACATCGAACTGCCCGATTACTCCCCCTTTTATTAGTTTTATGAAGGAGATGTCCAGTCAGTCACCAAGGCGCATGATGTGTGTGTGTATGTGCTCTGCTCAGCTCAGCTCTGTGTGTTCGGTGTGTTTGTGTCTGTCCGACACCGGCATTTGTTTTCAAATGTTTATGAACAGTAATTTACACACATATGGCTAACTCCATATATGCGGCTGTTCCCAAAATAAATTAGTTTAATCTTAATCTCGATGTAGTGCTAATGCTGTCGGAGTGCACCGGAACGAACGACACTATCATAATATCTTCTGAAAACAAATGCCAGTGTTCATAATGCGGCTTCTCCTCGTTTTCCCAGCATTCACTGGATTATCCGTAAATCATACAAACAAAACCAAAACGTTAATTTATCTGTTTTCCCGTTTTGGTTTAAAAACTGAATAACGTCGGTTTTTTGGTTTTCCGAAAAACCAAAAAATGATACCGGTTCTTTTTTAAACTTTGTTAATATGTTTTGGATGCATATTGTTCTAGTATTTGTTCAGGCTGTTACATACAATTAGCCTCTGTTGCTACCTGCTGGTGGTGAGTAAATATTAAAATCAGTTAAAATTGACAACCGGTCCGCGATTTTTTTTTTAATGTATCTGCCGGTCCTTGGCACAATAAAGGTTGGGAACCCCTGGTTTATTGCACCTCAAACATTTTTTGTACTTCCTCTAAGAAAAAAGGACAGTAAAAGAAGAGCTCTGTGGCTTCAGGCTTGATCGCCATTCAAATGACAGCGTTGGTTTCCCCCAAAAGTGGGCGGGGCCGTAAAGTGACGTAGATGTTACTCTCATCTATGGACATCGATCGCCTACTGCTATATTTAACCATATATTGAGCCTGTAATGTTCTTATTGGTTATAAATAAGACATCTTCTTGTATCTTGAGACTAGCTTTACTATCCAACTTTATTAGCCAACATGCAGTACCTTCACATCTTGTTCTGCTAACATCTATGTCCATAGATGTTATACTGCCGCCTAGTGGTAACATATATGTATTGTAACTAAGCATAAACACCTATCATTACATCCCCTTTCCAAACAGGTCAGTGTAACACATTTCTTAATTATAAAGCTTCTGGAACGTACAGTCTTCAAATGTAAACATTTTAAACATTCAAAATGTCTAAACATACTGTAAAGAAAGTATAGCAGTTTTTAACTTGCTATTTACTCTAAATAAAAGATCTATTGTTAACAAAACGTATGACACAAATATCAAATAAATGCCAACCATGCTCTTTTCTTAAAGTCACTTATAACTGCATGTCAACAGTTTATTGTTCTATAAGTCTGTCAGGTGGTTTTCTATAGCCTCATTTCAATACCCCTCCTCGACTCCTCTCTTCCCCTCCTTGAAGACTTGACCCGGAAATCGATCAAGACACGCCATTTTGAAGGACGTCCCAATAGCTGAAATGCACATGGAGGAGTCGAGGAGGGGTGAGGGAGGAGGGGTGCGGGAGGAGACGAAAGGGAGGATACACGAGAGCAGACTACGCGGAAGTGTTTTCACTACTCGCGTATAAAAGCCTTCACAGCTGGTCGATTTCAACACAGGAAAACGGAGAACTGGAAGAATGAGTGGAAAAGCGTCACATAAATGTCTATGGCTGCGTCTCAGGTCGACTATTTTCATTTCCTCGGTCGTCGGTCGTCGGTATCACCGGAAGTTGATTTGTCTGCGCCATCTTGAGTAGCGTCCCATGGTTCTTATTTCTGCCGGAGGACCGAGGATCGAGGAGCGAGGAGCGATAATGGAGGAGCGATAACCGAGGAACCACCAGACCATCCTCCGGTGAAATCCTCAGAGACTCTCCCCGCCCCCTTACTGTGTATCGCTCACTGATTGGACGATGCAGCGCATGCACTGATCTGTTGCTTCTTGACATGAGAGCAGTTTCCCAGCGGAGTGAAGAAAACACATGAAACTCACGGGACTCACTCCTCAGTTCATACTGTGTTTGGTTTCAATGAATGCATCATTCAGTTACAAATATGTGATATATCTGAACAACAAAGCGGACAAAAATCATTTCATTCATTTATTGGAAACATTTTCGTGATCGCTTTTTTCGTTTTACATTTTCATTTATTGTCATTTCCATTCAGTCAGTCATTAAGTGCTATTTAACATGTTAATTTGCTACATATCCACACAAACAAACTAAGTGTGCAATCCAATGAATGTTAATCTAACTGGGTTTTGATAGATAACATATCTCTTTTTCTTCTCTCAATTCTTTTATTTATATTGTGCACTCTAATCAATATTAATCAAACTAATATTCGTTTATACATTTTAAGAATGGCGTTTATCTTTTTTGAGAATTAGTTCTTATTTGATTTTATTTATTTGGGTCTACAACAGATGATACAAATGTTTGTGTCAGTAAATGTGTACTAACAGAGGCGGGGGTGTTTGTGAAAATAACGGGGACAGAGCTGGCTGCTGTCAGACGATCAGCTGTGCGGCGTCATCACAAACGGACGTCGCTTCACGTGACGCTCCGGAGGAAAGGACGTCCCATTGCTCTTAAAACTCATTTCCCTGCTTCTCCTGGTTTCCTTGCGTCTCTCCATGCTTCCCTGGTGGGAGGGACTAAACGCAGGGAAACGACACAAGTGAGGGACGCAAGGAATCCATTTAATCGACCTGAGAAGCAGCCTATGTGCTCACAGCTCACAATTATTATGTGCAATTCATTTCTTAAGGTTATACTAACAATTTAAGTCATGTTTAATGAACTTGAACGTCACTAAAACATAGCTATTAAGAAAGCTATTTCATAAATGGCTAGATCTTGATAAATAACAATTATTAGGGTCTGAGACCTAGGTCGGCGAAGACCCTATTGAAATCGGTCGCGCAGCGACCGATAAACCTGCGAAAAACACCCAAAAACAGGGAAAACGACCGGCAAAAGCACAGAAAAGGTTCGGAAATCATGACGGCAGATAGTCCGCGCGAGCCCAGACTGCAACTCGCATAATTAATATCGTTACGATCAATTTAGTCGCTCGCACAGCGAGCGATAACCATGCAAAACCCACAAAAAACAGGGAAAACTAGAAAATGCATTTCCTGCAGAAAATGCGTGCGAATGCTGTAAACTGTGAACATTTGTGGCTGAATTTAGCTGAAAATGCAGAAAAAGCTGAATATATTATTAGCTGAATGGTAGCTGCTTTTAACTACAGAGACCAAGTCAGTGTGTTGCTGAACTTAGCAGAGAAATGCAGAAAAGTGAAATGATTTGAATCAAATTGTTACAGCTCAAATGCATTGCAATGACTTCCATGTTAAAAAAAGACTTTAAAAAGCTGAATATTTAAAAAAGTATAACTTATTTGGAAACATTTGAAAGTTTCCCATCATGTGTTGAAAAGGCTGAATAGTTTGATATTTGAATGGTTCCTGCAGCTGGAATTAGGCTGAAGGAGTTAAATAAAGATATTACATGCAAGTCTGTCTGTCTGCCTGTGGGCGTGTCTGCTCTGATTAGATGCTGCTTGTAGCTACAAAAACCAAGTATGTGTGTTGCTGAACTTAGCGGAGAAATGCAGAAAAGTGAAATGATTTGAATCAAAATTGTTACAGCTCAAATGCATTGCAGAGTAGGAAAAATAGTGAAGAAGCTTAATATTTAAAAGAAAAGGTTTAAAAAAGGTATAAACAACAACATTGATATCAGACAGAAAAGAATAGGCTGAGACAGTCTGTTAAAGTCCAGTCTGTCAGT